CGTGAGCTAGTACAGTGGCGTGAGCTAGTACAGTGGTGTGAGCTAGTGCAGTGGTGTGAGCTAGTACAGTAGTGTGAGCTAGTACTGTGGCCATCTGCAAGAACAAGCAATGACTTGAGCAAAAATTAGTAAGACCTGGGGAGCCAGGACACCGTTACCTGGTGAAAGCATGGGAAGCTAGCTCCAGAATGGCTTACCTGTACTCCACAGCTTTCATCTGATATTAGGGATTTGAGGACCCTGGAAGAGGATGTGGCTTCCCCCAGTCTTCCTTTGAACTGGTAATACGTGTAGGGCTTCAGTCTAGGAACTCCCAATGCTTTGCTCTAATACTGTTCCTCCCGCCACATGAGGACTTGGACCTAACCTACTGAGTTTTATGGAGAATCCTGAAAAATGTTGAACTTCAAAAGAAAGCAAAGCTTCTTCTTGCCCAGGTAACCTGTTCAGGGTCAAGGGTCATGGAGCAGAGTGTCCGGGAAAGATCACTGAGGTTACAGGGTCAGTGAGAGGAATTTTTCAAGAAGGGTGAGGACCACACGCAACAGAGGGGAAAGAGTGAATCAGGTATTTGAGGAGCGATTGAATATGTTGGAGGAGTGCGTTAGGGAAATGTTCCTTTTGGCTCGCTGTCCTCCCCACCTGGGACCATCAAAGAGGGACAGAGGGTGTCAAGGAAGAAAGAAAGGGCAGCTGCTGCTGTAGCAACCCGCCTAACAGCAGCTCCATGCAATGTGTTTTTTTTATTTGTGTATGTGTACGTACATGGACACTGCACACTACACACCAACACACACACACTATCACTATGGAGATCAGTGAACAACTTTGGGTGTTGGTCCCAACTCTCCACCTCATTCGAGACAGGGTTTCTTTGTTGTTTTCTTTGTGTGGGGTTATGTTGTTTGTTTTCACCACTTATGTCAGGCTAGCTTACCCATGAGCTTCTGGGGCCTCCTGCCTCTGCCTTCATTTCCCCTGGGAACATTAGGATTATATACGCTCAAACCTCACATCAGTTTTTAAGTGGGTTCTGTAGATTCGAAGTGAGTTCCTCAGGCTTGCATGGCAAGTGCTTTCAACCAGCGACCCAACACCCTGTCATCCTGTTCAATTCAAATTTGAAAGCAGAAATAAATAACTGCCACCTTAAGGGTTTCTTGGTTTTCCCTATTGCTTTTTCTTGCTGCTGCTACTTGAAACAAAACAAAATTCCATCCAAAATTCACGTGATCAGATAGAATTTCGTAGCTATGACTTACACTGTGAAGTTTCCCATCCAGCCAACAGAGTCTGGCATGACAACCTTTAACTCTTTAACCCATGACTTAAAAAAATTTCCCGTTTGTAAACCCAGTGACTGTGAAGCTGAACTCAAAATGAAAACACCTTTTGAGAACCAGAATCTTGCATGCTGTTCTGCTGAACTCTGGTTCATTGACAATGACTGTCTAAGCTTGTCTAAAATGGTCCAGCTTTCTGTTCATCAGCATGCCCACCTAGGCCGTGGGTTTTTTGTTTTTTGTTTTTTGTTTGTAAAAGAGCTGGCCAAAGTATTTCACTGTGCTTTGCTGCAGTGCTGGGAGATCAGTTGAAGAGGCCTCATCTCTAGTCTTTAGCTTCCGTGGGTTAATTCTCATTTCCTCTTCCTCACACATACAAGACATTAGGCCTGGTAGTACAGGTTATTCCTGGAACCCTTTTGGCCTCCTTTGGGTGATTTACTTGGTGAATTCCCAGCCTCCATCCCTCCTGGCGGTGCTGCAGTGGGGCTGGCCACAGGTTCCCTGCCCACAGAACCCAGATCCTCTATTTTCTCCCATTTCTTACCTCAGTGTCTCTACCCCTGCCTTCTCGGAAGTTTTCTCTCCATTTAGGTACACCTTTCACGGAAGGTTCAGGAGAAGTGGTTTATATGTAGATCCCCCTTTCCATGGCCACAGTCACCTGTGCTAAGCCAGAGGAACACAGATCCCTGCCTTCACAATTGGTGAAGGGGAAGGAGCTGAAGTGAGAGCAGATTCTGATGGCCTGACCACCGTGCTGTGGAAACCAAACCAGCAAGGTGGAGGTGTGACTCAGGATACTTTTTCCCTGGCCACAGGCCATTTGTGGAAGGAAAGGGAAAACTAAGTAGCTGCTTTATGAACAAACCAGGGAACCTTTTATGGACCAGCAAAATCACAAACACACTCTCTTCTCTATTGACATGGGTCGGCACATGCCAGCATCCTTACATCCACGGTGTGAAGTACATACAGCCTTATACAAGAGAAAACCGAAGCATGAAAGTTCAATAATTTGCTCTGATCCCGGAGGTAGCACAGCAGAGGCAAAGTCTGGGCCCAGGCAGACTGGCTTTAGAGCACACTTCGACCCTCACTCTCTGTAGAACTCCAAGCCCATGGGGGAGTGCAGTCCAGGGTTAATCAGACTCTCCTCAGCAAACAAGCAGGAGCAAGGTGCATTAGTCACTTGACATGGAGTCCTAAAATGTCTTCCCTTGCTGTCTCGGCCTAGATAATGATCCATTCACCATCGTCAATGAAAACACCGGCAAGTGCATCCAGCCTCTGTCTGACTGGATAGTGGCACAGGACTGTAGTGACGCTAAAACCGGGTTATGGAAGTGGGTGTCTCAGCACCGACTCTTTCACCTGGAATCCCAAAAGTGCCTTGGCCTAGATATTACCAAAGCCACAGACAACCTGCGAATGTTCAGCTGTGACTCCAACGCCATGCTGTGGTGGAAATGTGAGCACCATTCTCTGTACACCGCTGCCCAGTACAGGCTGGCTCTGAAAGACGGCTATGCCGTAGCCAGTACCAATTCGTCTGATGTCTGGAAGAAGGGAGGCTCCGAGGAAAACCTTTGTGACCATCCTTACCACGGTGAGTTACCAGAGAGGGACTTTGACCCTTTTGCTGTAATGGTTGTTTCATTTAAATGCCATACCCAGCACAGCTTTGCCCTGGAAACCCAACCGGGGTGAGGGAGCTGGGTGCAGTCTGATGATGGCACCAGCTACTGCAGTATACCAGGACCTCAGTGCATTTATTAGGTATAGTACAGGGAAAGTAGTTAGCTAGTCCCGGTGTCAGGTCTCTGTGGGCTAGCAATGTCAGGCTGTAACATCCAGGAGAAGGGAGCTGCAGTTTTTCGCACACACTGGTCAGTGGTTGGTAGTCACTTGTACTTGAACCATATCTTTCTGTATCTGATCCATATGGAGAAGGCTTTGCCTGGTTCTAAGGTCACCTAGACATGGCTGTACCTCTGTTATCAATACACATTCATTCACTCGGTCCTACTTCCTTGGGCTCCCTACAACTGAACATGCACAACTCAGTTTAAATAAAGTCACAATGAGCCATCACTGTGAGCTACAGTCTTACCACACCTAAGGGTACTCCACCCTTCCCCTTTGTAGACCGGGCTAGAAAAGCTTAGGTGTGTTATCAGAGGCTACACAGACTTTTGGTGTGGTAAACACAGGACTTGAATTCCTATACCTTGTTTATTTACCTCCTATGATACCATTCTGAATGCTGGGAAAAAGGAATGCTATGCTGACAGGAAATATTTCATATAGGCTAAAGGCACATAATCTAATAATATTGACCGAACCCTAAATTTAAAAATATAAGAAAGAAAAAGAGGTGGTTTATTTTTCATGCCTGGAAATTTTAATAGACTAGAAATATTTTGAACATCTCACGGGTTTTTGTAATATTTTCATCTTTGGCATAGCTGTCCCATGTTGCTCTTTGTATTTCTGATTTGACATTCTAACTGTTAAGTTTTCTTTGGCCATTTCCAAAAACAAGTATATGAATATTGTCATGGTCTTTGCTCTAAATTGTATTTAAGAAAAAAACAAACAAACAAAACACTTTACTCTTTGAGAATTTAGCACAATATATTTTGATCATTTTTACTGCCAATTCCTTCTCCTAATTCCTGCCAGGCCCACTGGACCCCCTCCCTCCACCTTCTGAGCTTCCAATTTTACTTGATCTTATTTATTTATTTTAATAACTCACCAACTCTACTTTGTGCTGCTCATGTAGACCTAGCTGTGGGACCTTCTAGAATATGGTCAGCCTACCAACACAACCTTAAAGAAAACCAACTCACCCTGCCATTGATGTCACAGCTCCTCAGTTAGGGATGGAGGTTCAAGGACCCCTTCCCAGTTCAAGCTGGCTTGATCTTGCACACATCTTCTGCAGGCTCCACAGCTGCTGGGAGATCATGAGGAGGGTGGTCCAGCCATGTCCATTAAACGAAGTTCACTCCCATCCTCCCGGACCTCTGGCTCTTTTATAGTCTTTCCATTCTCTCTCCTGAGATGGTTCCTGGGCTTTGGGAAGGGGGTGTGGAATGGGTGTTCTGTTTGTGGCTGAGCACCCCACTTGTTCTCTGTGTTTGGCCTGTTGTACTTTTTTGTGTTAACCACTACGACCACACAAAAACCTTTTTTTTTTTTTTTTTGGTCTGAGATGAGGTCTGAGAGCTGAACGAATCAACAGGTAGACAGATATAAATTTAGATGGTGGTTTTATATCATGTCTATTTTGTAGATAATAGTAGTAGGTTCACTCCTAGGGCCTGTGAGATCTCCGAACGTAGGATCTTGACCACGTTTCCATACCAGGCGTATGTTTCCTCCTGTGGAGTGGTCCTTCAATGCAAGTGGGAATTGGTTGCTCACCCCATTGCGTTTATGTCACTGTCCCACCCATGGTCATTTCTTGCCACACTGCTCATCACTGTAACTCACAGCATTCATAGCTGGGCAATGCTGTTGCTGACGCCCTCCCAGTCCCAGCAGACTGTATAGCATCTTCCGGTACCCTGGAAGCTACCAAGCAAGGAGAAAACGTTCTGGTCAGTACCACTTGATTTCACCATGCCCTGTGGCCGGTATGTGTAGTATCTTCAGTAATAGGGTCTCACCATCGAGTTCTGATGGGCAACTAAAAGCAGTGTCAATAGCCTGATGGTTTGGGGGGATCTTTGGGACATCTCTGACCAATAAGTTGAGGGGAAGTATACCACACTTGGCAGTGGGACTTTCACTTAGAAACTTATGGCTTCTGGGAGGTGCATTGCCCCTGTGTAGGGTAACTCCAAGTAAATTCTTGAATATGAAACAACAGCAGAGGACAATTGAGAACAAAACGCTTATATTAGAACATAGTTAGCTGCCTGCATCCAGCATGGCTGTTGTTATGTTAGAGCATAGTTAGCTGCCTGCATCCAGCATGGCTGTTGTTTGCTTACTGGTTTACAGTATGCTGTGTGACACAGGGAACTGTGACAACCATCATTGAACCATGGGTACCTTGAAACCTGCAGAAGCAGTGACTGGTGTAAAGTTGTTGGTGGGTGTCAGTGACCACTCCAAGAGGCTGATCTTACCCCGTGTTTCACCATGAGCCACCCAATATGTCCTTAACTACTTCTCAAAAGTGGGAATTTCACAGACAGCTCTGATCTCACAGGCTTGTGGTGAGGAACAAGTACAGAAGTGTGTCTGAAAGTACTTTGCACACAGAAATGAAAGGTTACAGAAAGTCCTGAAGGTCCCAGCAGCAGCAGTAGAAGAAACATTGCATCATGCTCCGGGATTGTCCTTCTTGGTACTGTCTGTCCTAAGGAAGGGAAATTGGTCATGCGCCTTGGGGACTTTTTTTTTTGACGTGGTCAAATATGAAACATATGTGATGAGCAGGCTCCTTATAAAACAAAAGGTCACACACCCTTTAGGAGAATCATTCCTTGAAAGCCATTTGTGTGGCATAGGGAAACAAAACCAATGACCCACAAAGATTTTTTTTCTGCAGAGAAGCATCCAGATGATTCTTACTTCTTTTGTACTGCTGTGTAATACCTTCCAAACTTAAGTCTCTCACTTGGGAATGTAAGCACTCGAGGATGATAAAGAACATGGATAGAGTTACATACTATCTCAAGCATCCTTTAAAGCAGATCCTCGAGTCTTTCTGAGGGACTCCAAAGCCCAGTGAAGGTTAATGAGATCTGATGACTGTGCTCTCCCTAATGGCCATTCTTTCAGTGGATAATAACCAGTTTTGAAGAAATTGAGGCTATATTTAAAAGGTGACAGAAATAGATACACGGTTAGCTGCTCTATAAAACATGTTTTCAAGAAGACGGTTATTGACATAGTATTGAACACTTCCTCTGGGGTTCCCAGTCATATCTGCTTCGTGATAGTTTCCCAGTGCCTCTCTGGGGACCAGAGAAAACTACTAAAATAAAAGCTACCTCATTGGTCACCAGCTTCTCCCATGACTGCCCTGTTAAGGCCAATTCTTTTTCATCACCTGAATTACTATGTACTGACTCACTCCACGCATCTACTCAGGGATCTAGCAGCTCTCTTCCCTCACGTCTTCAAAGCCACAGCCTCAATTCTGTTGGACAACAATAGCCTTTGTCCACCTCTCTAATCGCATAAGTGGTTTCAAAGCTGACACATATATCAGCGACGCCAGCCTCACATTCACTAAAGAAATGGAGGTGATTCTAGCTGGGCTGCCTTGTCTGGCTTCAATGGAAGAGGATGCACCTAGCCCCACAGAGACTTGATGTGCCAGGGTGGAGGGATACCCAGAGGGACTCCCACTTGCTCAGAGGAGAAGGGGAGAGGAAAGGGAGGAATGATTGTGGGTGACAGGGAGGGCGGTAATGAGCAGGATGTAAAGTGAATGAAAAAGAAAGAAAGAAATGGAGGTGAATTGACTCTCTGTCAAGATACCCATTTTGAGGAAGTACCTGAGTTTTCTCCCCATGCTGGAATCAGTCTCCTCTTACTTGATCAAGCCAGGGTCTTTCATTGCTTCCTTATATCACAGAAAAGAAACCTTCCCTTTTTCTAAATACACAGGGGACAACCCTGGAGTTAAGCACTGATGGCCTCAGTTCGAAATGCAGAAACTACGCCTGCAGGAGACTCCAGCATTTCAAAGTACAGACCAGAGCAGTCTCTGTGCTCTTTCCACAGTATATAGCCCGCTCGGATATTGTAGTTCATAAGTGAAACCAATACTCTTTCTTTAAATGTTTTAGAAATTAGCTACCCTGAGATGGTTGCTCAGCTCTGAACTGTCCTCTTCTTCCTTCCCATCCCACAGAGATATACACCAGAGATGGGAACTCCTACGGGAGGCCTTGTGAATTCCCTTTCTTGATTGGTGAGACATGGTACCATGACTGCATTCATGATGAGGATCATGGTGGGCCATGGTGTGCCACTACCCTAAGTTATGAATATGATCAAAAGTGGGGTATCTGCCTACTACCAGGTATGTATGGGCTGGTGCACTCTTTAATAGCAAGAAGAGAGTAGTGTCTATAGGAGCTAAAGGGGGAAAGGGGGAGCTTAAGATGACTTGATAAATCTGCAGCTGATATCATCCTAGATAAAGGAATCTGCGTTTGCAGGATTTCTTCCCTGAAGTCTGGTACAGCTTTGAATTTGCCTTGAGAAGCTGGTCAAGAAGAGAAGCAGGACTGTTTGTGGAAGGTGGGATTGGGGGAGGGCACTGGGGAAGCTCAGCGACATCAGGGAAAAGTGGAAAGGGCACAAGCAGGTGGGAAGTTGCAGCTTCAGGAGAAAGTGGGGCATGAGACACTGGAGCTTGACTAGAAGGACATCACCTTTTCGAGTTTCCTGAAGCAAGCAAGAGCAACAGGTACAGAGGAGCTGAGAAGCCATCTTTAGGATTGTGACAACTTAAAGTAGATTTGTGCCCTGAAGCCAAGGCTGGAAGAGAAAGAGACACATACCTTTGGCCCTCTCCAAATTAGTGACAATGTTTGCTCCACCATGCCCATGTGTGGATCAGAGTATGTTTTCAAGTTGTTTCTCATTAGGAGAAAATTATCCAGGGTGCTAAAGCATTCATTCCTCTTTATAGAAACGGACAGATCAAAGGAGTGCTTGTGCTACTGTCTGGTATATAACAGAGACAGTTTCTTAGCAAATGAGCAGGTATTACCAAGAAATCACAGTAACTGGCGTGTGGTACATGCTTAAGGAATATTGAATGACAAGTTAACTCTGTAACCTCAGCACTCATGAGACTGATCCTGGAGAATGATGAGTTTCAGGTCAGCCTGAGCTATAGAAGTGTGAGAATACGGTCTCAAAGAAAATTAATGACAACAGGTTGAAAGAGCCCTATTAAAAAAGAGAAAGAGAACTTTAGATGTAATAATAATAGTAGATGACCTCTTTCTTAGTTTGGGTTTTTACTGCTATGACAAAACACCATGACCAAAGCAAGTTAGGGAGGAAAGGGTTCACTTGGCCTACATTTCTGTATCACTGTTCACCACTGAAGGAAATCAGGACAGGAACACAATCAGAGCCGGAACCTGGAGGCAGGAGCTGATTCAGAGGTCTTAGAGTGGTCTACATACCGGCTTGCTCCCGATGGCCTGCTCAGTGTACTTTCTTATAGAACCCAGGACCACCAGCCCAACATAGCACCACCCACATAGATTGGACCCTCCCCTATTCAATCACTAAGTAAGAAAATGCCTTACAGCTCCGTCTTATGGCAGATCTTACAGCAGCATTTCTCAATTGGGGTTCCCTCTCGTCCGATAAATCTATCTTGTGTCAAGTTGACATAAGACTATCAGAACCCCACTCCCAGTGTCAGGCACTGTTCTAAACCTTCAACATCTATTGTAACCATTCAGTCCCCATAGCAACTACAGAAAAGCATAGTGAGGCCTAGTTGGACTACATAGTTGTATAAGGTCTTGAAGGTCCAGGAAACCTGCCTGTGAAGCCTTTGCCCCATATGGCTCTACTCTCCAGCCCAGAGAAAAGGCAGCCTGGCGATATTGTATGCAGATTCCTCCTCAAGAGAACCCAAGCTTCTGACCAACTTGAAGAAATTAGACAGGGCCAACGATTCCACACATCAGGCTGCACCAATTCCAGTTGGAGTGTTTGTTAAAACAGAGGGGTACCTCCAAAGGTTCTGATTCAGTGGGTTTGAGACGGAGCCTGGGCATCTGTAGTTTCATAAGTTCCCAGGTCATTCTGATGATGCTGGTCTGAGGACCTCTCTATGAGAATTGCTCTTCTAGACCAAGGCCCAGGCTTTTTTAACACCTGGAATCTAGTTAGAATATTTTTTTAAAAAAATACACAGTGTTTGGTTCTTCTTATAATTTATAACAAATGAATTGTGGCTAAGAGTATAACTGTTTCATTTAGGTCTCACCATCACTTGGGTCAGAAATTTGAGGTGAGAATTTTCTCAGGTTGATAGAAGGTCCTGCCAGGGTCAGACCACATTTATGTGAAGCCTGGTGGAGAGGCCAGTATTCCTGATGCTCATTCTCCAGCATATTTACCTGCTCTGCCTTATTACCTTGACTGGAAAATGCCTATGTGCCTAGTTGCCTCCTTGGGCAGGGGGTGTTAATGCATTCGTGTACCTACCAGAGTTGCTTTTTATGAAAAAAAGGCTGAATTCTCAAATCTGAGGTTTGCCAAGCCCTGGAGGTAGTATGGAACAGCAAATACACTGCCACCCAACTGGAAGCTTCTAGCTTTCCAAAGAAGAGGCTTTCACTGGTAATACGAATGTATTTACCCTATTTTCCTCCATCAAGTGACATGATCCCTCTTGCTGTATATGCTACAGAAGACTGGGTAAGATGTAAAAGTGCCATTCAGAAACCACAGAAGTGACGAGTGTTCTGGTTATACCATTGCCACAGACACCTGTGGGTCTTTGCCCACTCTATGCATTCAGCAGTGGATAGAACCACGAGTGTACTATTTGGTGTGTAACTGGTAGTGGAAAGCCCCCTTGAAACTCCCTGGATGGAGCATTAGATCATATGATCCAGCCTGAATTGGGTTTCCCTCTCTCTGGGATCACATAGGAAACTGAGTATACTTTGGACCAATTCAATTATCTCAAGATCTATATAACTGAATCATGGTACAACTTGAAGGTTCTTTATTTGAAAGACACATTTATATATCTATTACATATCCATTATCTATTATCTATTATCTATCATCTATTATATATTATATACACACACACAATGGAGCTGGGGACAGGGCATTTAAGTAGGTAAGAGTGCTTGCTACTGGCACCCAAATTTAAAAATAGAAAATTAGACATAGTTAAGAACACCAGCCAGTAACCCCAGCGCTATTGAGGTTGAAGACAAGAGGATTTCTGGGGTTTGCTGGCTGCCAACCTAGCTTCAGGTTAATCAATAGATCCTGTCTCAGGGGAAGGTAGAGAGAGATCCAGCAAAACACTTGATGTCTCCCTCCTGTCTCTGCTTTCACATTCACACACCAGCACAGCAACCTGCTGGCATTAACATGTGCATACACACCACGCTCGCACAGAGCACTATGGACCTTCTGGGTTGTACACTCATGTTTCTATGCCTCTCTGTGTATATGTAATGTGAGTCCTATATCATTAATTCTGTTCATGCAGTCAATCATCTATTCAAATATTAAGGAGAAATTTGGGCTGAATTTCCAAAATAAAGAAGTCACTATGCTGTGTATCTTAGCCATTTTAACAGCATCTCTGTGCATACAGTGTTTTCTAGGCAGGGTGGAGACAACAGTGAGCTTGTTTTACATTGGCCCAGTGCTCCACAACCGCATATATTGAGACTACCTTCTTCAGGCAAAGGGCATGAAGGAACACTGGTACAAACATGGCATTGTAGTTGACAGGGCATAGAGGGAAAGTGGAAGAGTTTGCCCGCTTGAGTCATTTGGTATGCTCTGACTTCCATTTCAGTGAGTAAAGAAATATGCTGCATGCAGTGACAGCCTCCGTTTTGGTGCGTCCTAAGCGAATGTAAATCGAGTTGCGATCTTGTAGGCACTCCAAGTAACAGAAAACATTATCTCCTTATTTTGCAATCACTCATTTATCTCTTTATCAACAGAAAACGGCTGTGAAGGTAATTGGGAAAAGAATGAGCAGATTGGAAGTTGCTACCAATTTAATAATCAGGAAGTTCTATCTTGGAAAGAAGCTTATGTTTCCTGTCAGAACCAAGGAGCTGACTTACTGAGTATCCACAGCGCTGCAGAATTAGCCTATATTACAGGTAGGTCTAACTTGCGCGTGGTAGAGCAGACAGCTGGAATTGTAAAGATGCTTTCTTCTTCTACGCTGTATAACCAGGCATTCTCTTTTGATAATATCCTTTCTGGCCTCTCTTAAAATCTAAACCTCAGCATTGAAACCTACAAGGGAAAAGGGGAGGAGGGATTGAACGTACGCATATTCCATGTGTTGAAATGCATCTCGTGATAGAAACTAGAGGGGAAACTGCTGTTTAGAAAGCAAGTTAGAGTACAAGATGCAGTTAGTACCCTAATCCTAAATGACGAATGGAGAGGAGAGGGTGAAACGCTAAACCTCTGGATACCACAAAACAGAGAATTCGAGGAAGATTGAGCAGACAGTGAATCATGCTAGCTGACCTCCGTGATAAGTCTCCATACGGGAGTGGAAGGCTCAGGGGCAAGGAGAGGTTTAGGATTCTCTTTTAATGTTTTTAAAATACTGTGTGTATGCACACATGGACGTGCCTGTGTGTGTGTGTATGTTTTCGTGTGTGTGAATGCTAGTACACTAGGAAGCTGTAAAAGGGTATCAGATCCTTTGGAGCTAGAGTTACAGAGTGTTATGAGTACTGGAAACTGAATATCTGCACCCCTAACCACGGAGCTGAGCCTCCGCCCCGGAAGGAGTGTTAAAAGGCATGCGTAAACGAACAGGGGAAAGCACACACGGCCTCAGCTCTACACAAAGAATTATAAGCAACTAAAGAATCTTGAGAGTAGGAGGAAGGAGCAGTCCTCCCCGAGGAAGAGCACACTAATTGGTTATCCAGTACCAAACAGTCACCCCTGAAAGCATCCATACAAGTAACAGTATACAAACTGAGCAGGATGCATTTTTGTATTTAGGTGTATATACATAGCATACATATACATGGCATATATATATATATATATATATATATATATATATATATATATAAAATAATATATGCATGCATGTAGGGATAATCAATGAAAAAAGAGGCTGTGAATTTACAAGAGAGCGGGGAGAGGTGTACTGGGCAGTGTAGAGGGAGGAAAGGGGAGGGGGAATTATGTCATTGTACTATTATAATTGCAAAACATAAAAGAAGCCATTTTTAAATAGAAGTCCTAAAGAGAATGAATAGCAAGGATATGCAGAGTAGATTTTGTTTGGGTTTGTTTTGTCTTCAGAGTAGTAGAAATTTAAAATATTACACACATACATATATACATATATACATACACTACTATTTATATATATACATATACACATCATATATTTATAATATATGATATATTATGTATTCCATTGGTTATATACAATATATATTATGTATATAATGAAAATATCATTCCCCCAAAGCTTTTGATTTTAACAATCAGTGATTGACTGACACTGGGAATCTATTTCCAGAAACAGATGAAGAGGTGATCCCTTTTGTGAGTCTCTCAAAATCCTTAAGGGTTTTCTTTTTTTCTTTCTGCCTGTCTTGCATCTACTTAATTATTTTTTTTAAGTTTTATTGTTGTTGTTAATGCATAGATGGGGTGACAGATTTAGATTGTTTGGATTCATCATATGTAACTGGCTTTCTCAGGACCTAAAACCAACTGGAGTTCCCCTAAAACTCCGAAAAAGACCCATATGCCCTGTGCAGGAACATTTCCTAATTAAGACCCTGAGAGTTTTTCCACCTTGAGCTGCTTGACCTGCTCCCCCAGGCTAGGGTGTTTGCAAGTTAGGGCGGTTGCAGCCTTTCTGATGCAGCTGAAGAGTTCTGTGGCTCAATTTAGGCCTGTGTTATCAGGCTTGTCATCGCTCACTGTGGAAGAAGGAAGAGAAGTATGCAGTCAGACCTGGACAGAGGTCTCTGGGGCAGCCAATTCTGTCTCTGGAAATAATTACAAACTATGTATCTGGCATGGGGTTAATATTCAGAATTTGGAAGGAACTGAGAAAACTCAATAGCAAAGTTTGACCAAACAAGAGCCTAACTAGGCCTAACTAGACAGTTGTAAAAACCACAAAACCAGTCAAAGATAGGATAGAGTTTTAAATGCTCAAAATAACTAATCACTGGATAAATATAAACCAATGCCACAGTAAGATATCAGTTCTTTATTATTATAGTGATTGTTAAAAATAATAAAATAAATGCAAATGAGGACAAGAAGAAAGGAGAAAGCTTGCACACAATCAGGAATACTGTAAAGTAGTATAACCATTGTGGAAGTCAGTATAGGTTCCTCAGAATATTAAAAAGAGGACTATTCGGCAGCTCCTGTACTAGGAACATAGCCAAAGGGAAGGAAAGACCATGCCAAGGAGATACAGAGATTGCCACTCTGCCACACTGATGGCAGCTCTACTCACAGTGACCAACATAAATAACAACCGCCATCGACAAGGATTTCTAGCATCCAGTGAGGTAAAGAAAAACTGGCATATACACAGTGAAAGAAATCCTGGCATTTGTGACAGTTCAGACATTCTGTTAGGTGAAATAAGGGGAGGCGCAGAAAGAGGATCGCCACAAGCTGTCAGTCATATGCGAGGTCTAAAATCCTGACCTCGTAAGAGCTGAGAGGAGTGGGAAGGGCAGGCTGAGGAGAGCAGCCCCTGGAAGGGAAGAGAGGGGGAAGGGGAGAGGTTGGTCAGTAGGTACAAAGTAACACTTACAACTGAATGGTGGTGTTCCATTGCACAATAAGGTAACTGTAGTTGATAGTTGTAGTTGATAGTCACACATTGTCTATTTCAAAACAACTGGAAAGGATTTGGACTGCTCTTATCACAAAGAAAAGATAAATGTTTAAAGTGATAAGTGTGCCCCTTTCCCTGGTTCAGTCATTATATAGTGCATCAAAGCTTCGCTCTGCGACCCACAGATACATGTGGTTACTATGTGCCAATTAAATACAGACAAAAGAAGGAAAAGGAATAAAGGACTTGCCTGTTTCCTTAGCCCGAGGCTCTCTACTGCTGACCATCTGAAAGACAGGCAAAGTCTTACCTGAGCTCTAAGTAAAGAAAAGGCCCAATAAAGTAAAGAAAAAGTCTTGATGGTCCACATCTACCCGACAAGTACATTTAGAACGTGCCCATTTCTCATTTACGTCCACGGGTTGCCAGCATGCTAGAAAACTTAAATTCTTTAATTCCAATGACGTCAATACAAACTACAAAGACAGTAAGGAGACGAATCAGGGGCTTTTTAGCTCAAAAGATCTCGTTGTGTAAGTCTGTCCCTGCCTGCAGGTAACCACCAGGGTTATACTACAGTAATTACTTCCTATGGGGGCTATCTGAAAAACCTTCGTAGGAAGGATGTGGCTGAATCTGTAGTGGATGGGAAGGAACTCCTAGTATCCTGCTTGAACCATGGCAGGAAGGTGGAAATGAAAACAAACAGCATTCAAGACATCAGGAGACATGGTCAAGTCTGGAGCACTAGAAAGACTTCTTTTGGTATTCTGGGAAACCAACTCCTTTTACTAACAAGGGGAACTGTGCATTAGATTGCATCTTTAATGTGTCCTCTGTAGCGGTGCTGGCAGCTGTTACAGGAGCTGGTGGGGTAAAAGAGAAGGAAGAATCCAAAGGTCTTGCTCAAGGCTTCTACACAAACACAGCTGCCCTCTCTTTACTTAAAAAAGTATCTCTGCCATCTATTTCCTTGAGAAAGGTGGAGCAAACTTTAAGTTCTCACCCCATACTTCCATCTGTATCCAGACTGTGGTCCCACCAGCTCCTCCAAAAGCTCCTCCATTTCTCAAACCTTTGTGTCTTACCAGCCATTGATCCACCCTGATCATACACTGACTCTTTCATTTGCCAACACCCTATGTAAACATCCACCATTGAAGATATGCTTATTTCTTGGTCCTGGGAGCCTGCCTCCTTCTTTCTTAACGAAGCCCCTTTGCAAGTCCTCAAAAGGCCTGCTTTACACGTTTGGCTTCTAGAGTTGTCAGGGAGGCAAAGATTATGTACAGTCAAAGTTGCTCTTGGAAAGTGTCATAGTCTAAATATGGTTTTTCTCTGTGTAATCCCTATAGTCTATAATACCTGCACATAGGCACCATATGGGGGATAGATAGGGACATGATGTAATAACATATATATTTTCCGTGAGTAATTAGGAAACTGTTGTTAAGTCATTTTCAGCTGAAAATACCCCAACAAATTTATAAAGATCCCTATCTTAATGTTTGTCAGCCTCCCCTTGTCATTCATAGACCATTTCATCAATTGCTCTTTCTCTTCTACCTGGCCTTAATTAATTTTTCAGATTCTTCCCTCATGGTCTTGATAAAGTCTTTCCAGGTTCATGACCTCCTAGATAATGATGGTCAATGCCTTAGTTAGGGTTTTTTGTTTTTGTTTTTGTTGTTTTCCTGTGAAGAGACATCATGACCAAGGCAACTCTTATAAAGGAAGACATTTAATTGGGACTGGCTTACAGCTTAACAGGTTCAGTCCGTTACCATCATGGTGGGAAGCATGGCAGCATTCAGACAGACATGGTGCTGGAGGAGGAGCTGAGAGTTCTACATCTTAATCTGGAGGCAGCCAAGAGGAGGCTCTCTTCTACAATGGATAGAGCTTAAGTATAGGAAACCCCAAAGCCCACCCCCATAGTCACACTCAAACTCCAACAAAACCACACCTACTCCAACAAAGGCCACGCCTCCTAATGGTGCCACTCCCTGTGGGCTAAGCATTCAGACACATGAATCTACAGGGGCCAAACCTATTCAAACCACCACAGTAAAAATCCTTATGATCATGCTTATATTCTTTATGTTCTTTCTTCATTATGTACAGACCCATACAAGCATGGGCACAACCATATTTTGTATCCACATCAGGTATCATATGGACAACTAGTCTCACGATTGAAATTATTTATACTTCCCTGTCCCCTTCCCTTCTTTTCCCAATGGTTTTAATTATGATATAATAAGATTGTATGATATGTCTTCCTGACTACAGGTGTGAATGTGTGTGTGTGTGTTTGTGTGTGTGTGTGTGTGGTGTGTGTATAAAACTCTCATATCTAATTTAAACACACAACATAGTAAGTCATGAAACAGTTCCTATGCATATTTCTAACCCAGAAATGCTTTTCTGTTTGAAGGGTCCCTAGATATTCCCCTCTGCTAAACTAAACTTTTTATGATGGCAGTACTTTATGGTTTTGATTTTTATATTCATAGATCTGGCAAATAATATAGGCTTTATGGCTTTAACCTGTCAGAATGGAATACAGTCAGATCTCAAACTCTAGGCACAGGATGGAAACTGCTTTTGAGTAAACCTCCTAAGTAAGGATTGAAAATACATAGTGAAACTGCCACTCAGAAAATTCTATTACCACAGAGGAGGGAGAACTGGACATTTGTAAAGCAGAATTGAACAAATTTATTAGACTTTGGCCTTCTCAAAAAAAATGAAGCTTTGTTGTCCATTAGCATGACCTGCCTCTGTTGTCTAGACAGCCCCATAGTGAGATTCCTGCTTCAGTTAAGACCTTCTGGTTTTTGACTATCAGTAAAAACCGAGTTTGATTTATATCATTTTGTCATTATTAAAAATTATGTAATTCCATGTGTCTCTGCGTGTGTGTATGTGTGTGTGTCTGTGTGTGTCTGTGTGTATATGTGTATATGTGTGTGTGTGTGTGTTTCTTGTGCTTTTTCTTTGGCTCCTTTTCTTCCGTTTGTCATTTTGTCTTATTCTGGATTCTTCATCTTGATTTTATCATCATCATCATTTTATATACTTGTTTTTGTGATCTTGGGTGGGTGGGGAAGTGGGGAGGATCTGGGAGGAGTTAGGGGAGGAAAAACCATAACCAGAATATATTGTATAAAAGATCTATTTTCAATTAACAAATTATGTAATTTGTACAGGAAAAGAAGACATTGCTAGAGTCGTTTGGCTTGGACTGAATCAGCTCTATTCTGCTAGAGGCTGGGAATGGTCAGACTTCAAGCCACTCAAATTTCTTAACTGGGATCCAGGTAATGCTTTTCCCCAGCAATGTCTACAGAGTAAAGGCTTCAAAGCTAGGAACTTTTTACTCATCCAGAGCTTATAAAAGTTTCATGTACAGTCAGATCTCATGCTAGCTTCTTCAGAATTTTTTTCTGACATTCTTAACTGTGGTATTATTTTAGCCAACTTAGCCATGCTGTAGGCAATGGAGCATTTGCTCCTAGGCTTTAGAGTACCCCTGCATTTTTAAAGTAATAACAGAATGAACCCCACAATATGGCCAGGAATCAGTCTACATTCCATAGAGTCTTGACTCCCAGTGCTGTACCTAGCCTGCAGGTTGCTTTTAGTGCAGAATAATCCCTTACTTCCACACAGTAACACCTAAACACCAGGAATACAACAGATGTAGTTTATTACACAAATAAATACATCAACGAAAACAACATCCTGTTTCACCAGAAGCTTTCTACAAAGAAAAAAATGAGGAAGGAACCTTTTGAAACCTAAAATCTGATAAAGGCAAAACCTGAATGATAACGTGAATAATAGTGTTCCTTCCACCTACATAGAAGAGGAATGGATTGAGTATTATAAAGCAACCATGATGTTTTCATCAGTGAAATATTTTTATTAGTAAACAAAGTGATACTCTACTGAGTCAAAAATAGACTATGCTAGGCAAGCGCCACACTACTGAGGTACAGTCCTAGTCCTTAAATTAATACGTAAGGTCATAAAGGCAGAACCACACAATAACATTTCTGTCTGGCTGTAAATATTTACCATAGAATAAATTTAATATGCTCTAAGAGGCTCTGGCCGCAGGTGTGTGTGGTGGAGGTAGCTCTAGAGCAGAGACCGGTTTGTTTCTCTGCTGTGCGTTAGCTCTTGTGGACCAGAATCTTCCCCCTCCATCTCGTGTTTCAGAAGAAGGACAAATGAACATGTCGTTGCTCACTGCAGCCTATAACTTTTCAGTTTAGTTGAAAGTTTTAACCAAAAAGACAGAAAATCATGAACTTTGAATAATTTTAAGACCACTCTGGCCCTAACCTCCTTCTGCCTCCTTGAAAACTGTCTTTTTAAGGCATGCCCACTGCACCTGTGATTGGTGGATCAAGCTGTGCAAGAATAGACACAGAGTCCGGGCTGTGGCAAAGTGTTTCCTGCGAATCTCAGCAGCCTTACGTCTGCAAGAAGCCATTGAACAACACGGTGGAGCTCCCAGGTGTGCCCCTCACTTCCCCGAGTGTACAAATAAGGCCAGAGTTTTGTGAAGTAGATACATGCCAGATACCTACTTTTTCCTTCACTGGATACTGCCAGTGGTTGTTGGTTTATTTGGTTCTTTTTTATCCCCAGAACCCATGCTAAAATGCTGTGGTTGTATATGTTTGTAATCCCAGTGTTGGAGGTGGGGGGTGGGGGAACAGAGCAGGAGAATCTTTAGGGTTGTCTGTCCAGATAGTCCATGTTAATTGATAAGCTTTGGGCTAATGAAAGACTCTATCTTACCTCCTCAAAAGATGTTGATGATTTTCTTGAGGATAACACCTGAGATTGTCCTTTGGATACACACACACACACACACACACACACACACACAAAGGATCCACCTTTCTCTGTCTCCAATGCTAGGATACATATATGTCTACATATCCATGCTCAGATTTTTACAAAGGTGCTGGGGATTGGAACTCAGATTCTCAGGTCCCTATGCTTGCAGAGCAAGGGCTCTTCCCCATTGAGCCATCTCCCTAGCACGGAATTCTTATCCAAAAAGGAATATAGAGCAATTTAAACGATAGTTACATACAATGATGTAGGGAAATGTCTTATGATAATAGAAAGAAATGAACATTTATATTCCAAGTTACCATATATAGCCATACAACAGAAAGCATAATAGAGATGCCACACAAGGGAGAATGTACAAGAACTCATGACAGAATAAATAAATATCTTGAAGTCACTATTATTAAATAAATCATGGTGTTTCCATAATATGTGCCTATTATAATTGTGCCGGCAGGAAAATTCAAAGAGCAGAACAAAATGATATGCCTACCTGCCTGTAAAAATAGGTTCTTTGTGGAGATAAAGGCTAGAATGAGTGGTTGGTTGTTTGAGTTCATTTACATGTGGGTTTTCTCTCTGTTTCTTTCTATAATTGAAATATCCCATAGTAATAATGAATGTCATTTAGAGCCTAAGTTAATTGAGTTACTATCTTGCAAAAAAAAAAAAAAAACAACCCTCCACATTCTTAAGACGACTGTGTTTGCTTGTACAAAAAAATAAACGTTCCAAGAAGATCTGGATATCTGGAATAACAAAACTGCTTTCTAGTTTTGCTAGCGAGAGTAATAGCCCTTTGCCTCTGAAAGGTTAGACTTCCCTTATGCACTTCATCATGGTCTGAGACTCACTGGTCTTTCAGAGAGGATGAAGGTGTCTAAAGAAGCCATTCTGTCCTTTCTCTCCCTCCTTTGCTGCCATCTCTCAAGGGTATACTAAACAAATGCCACGTCCCGCCCCTTAAATCTCTACCTGCTCTTTATTCAACAGTAAGCGTTAATATGTATTCACTTACTAAGCCAGTCACAGGAGAAAAGAAGGCTTGTGTCTTGCTAATCTCTGAGACATGGGTGGGGGTGACCTGGAAAAGGTGGTCCGAATCTGGCCTACTTCACCCTGTCTTCCACTTATTAAGACTAAAGTCGTTCCCTTCCATGACTATGCCTATGTCCCTTAAATAGTTTTGTCCAGCCACGTGCCATATGTGTCTCAGAATAAGGACATTTTATACCTGAACCTCCTCAGGAGTTCTTATAATGCCAGATAGGTAGTAAGCGCTACATAAAATTCATGTCACTCTGATAGCTGACATCATGTCTCCCAGATTTCCAGACGCTTGTGACTCAAGGAAGAGACATTTACAGGGCTGTTGATTCAAAATGGATCTCTCTTTACTGGAATATAAATTGCTGCTTTCTCCCCCGCAACCCCCCCCCAGATGTTTGGACGTACTCAGATACCCACTGTGATGGGAGCTGGCTGCCAAATAATGGCTTTTGCTATCTGCTGACAAATGAAAGTTATTCCTGGGACACCGCACGTTTGAAATGCAAAGCCTTGGGAGCAGACCTCATCAGCATTCACTCCTTAGCGGATGTGGAGGTGGTTGTCACAAAACTCCATCACGGGGGTGAGTTTTTTTGTTTTGTTTTAGACACCTTGTTTTAGGGGTCTAAAGCATTTCAAGTCTCCCCATTTTCAGTAGGAGAGGCTTCCAGCCTGCCCAGTAGGAGGACCACATCCAGGAACCTTTCGGTGGAAATGGGCGTGTCCCAGGCCCCGCCTTGCTGTAACTACTACATGGCTTTTGAGCTCCTGAAAGATAGTTAGGGAAAACAAGGAACCGAAGTCTTACTTTTGTTTCACCTTCATTTCTCTGCATTACAGTTTAAATGGCTGTCTCTGCCCGGTGGCCACTATTTAATCAGAAACTCTCCCTCTGCTCATAATTATGCCAAATCTTCTTCAAGTTCTTCTAAAAATCTGCTTGATGATCTTTTCACTTTTGTGATTATCTGGAACTAGACTGAGAAACAAAGACATCCTAGGTCCCGCCCTCTTCCTAGAGGCAGGCAGTGGAGGTAACTGTTCTGTGCCAGCGTGGCACGCATTGCTTTCCACGTGAAGACGGTAGTCATTTCAGTGCAACAGTGAACAAGAAATATTTCTAGTTAGAGTATCTATGGTTGTGTTTATAGAGTTTCACTAATACCCATAATGCAGAGTTTATGTACAGCAGTTCTGAGGGGCACTGAGCTGGCCGATCCTAGAGCAGCTCTTCTCCCTCTGTGTACCGTCTGCAGTATGAGGGACATTGCAGGCCTGGAGACCCACACTCCCTACCCATCAACATCCTTTGTAAGCGACGAAAGAATACCGCGAAGCCCCCCAAAACTACCTACCAGCACGTAAAAGTCAGTAACATACATATTATAACATACAACAGAACAAAGCCAAACAAAGAAAACATTTTTCTTTTAGATGTCAAAGAAGAGATATGGACAGGCCTTAAGAACACAAACAGCCCCGCTTTGTTCCAGTGGTCAGACGGAACGGAAGTTACTCTAACATACTGGAATGAGAATGAGCCGAGTGTTCCCTACAATAAGACTCCCAACTGCGTTTCCTATTTAGGAAAGGTAGGACACCTCCTGTAGTTTATTTATAGTCTTTTTTTGCTAGCGCTAATAATAGTACTAACATTTTGCTAGGAACGGGATTTGTGTGCAAACTGAGAAGGAAAAGGTAAAGCCCTGTAGATTGGCATCCTGAGAGTTGATTGCTGAGTAAGCAGTCTACTTGCTGTCTGAGCACCCATTGCAGTCTGGCTAAGATACATGGACTCTTTAGAACTCTTGTGTTAAATGACCTGCTTTCTTCAAGGATCCAAGTCTCCATCAGACTTTTTGCTCACTATGATTGATGTTTGGCAGGTAACCATGGCTCAGTCTGAAAGAGTCTACCTTTTTATGCTCTGATTAAGTTTTGAATTAGTCATGATTTGAGGCTAACTGGAAAACGTTTTTTAATAGTTCGGTTTTTAATAAAAAAATTTTTTAAGTGGTTTTCAATATTTATATAAAAAGTTGGGATAGATTTGTTCAGAAAAAATTATCTTTTCCTGAAATGTAGCTTGCTAAACACTCATTGAGCATGCTCCGGTTAGGAGCCTAAAATAGGCTCTATCATGCACAGAAGGACTTAAACACTTCTTTGAGTTTTGTTTACACCTCTTTCCTATAGGCAGCTGTCTCTCCTGGTAATCAGGGTGACTGTCACCCAGACATCTAGAGAGACTGTAAATGGAAGCATCAAACCGAGTTCCTATTTAGAAGTGTCCGATCGCCAAGACGTGATTTACAAGTGTCACACTCCGTGCCCTACTTTAAAAGCCAAGATGGCTGGGCTCATCATCCAAAGTGAAAGTGAAGAATGAAGGGAAGGCTTAGCTACACAGCCTGCCTGAATTCAAAAGTGACCCTGGTGACACTCAAGCCACCAATGTTTAATTTCGAGAAGCAATGCAACTTAACCAATTAAGCAAAATCAATTTTATGTAGCATATTTGAAAGAGACGGTTTTGATGCCTAGACTGGAGTAGAGTTAAAAGAAACCTTTGACTCCACACTTACTTGGCAGTAGCTCTCGTCACCCCCATCATCCTTACACGGATGAGGAAATGGAACCAGACTTTAGTTGATGTCTCCCAAAGATTTTAATCTCTGAACAAACATCACACAGGTCACAAGGAAGCAACTAGAATCCCGGCAGCTTCGAGAGGGGTTCTTCTCACTTCGACTTCTTGTCTACGTGTCCTTTGGCTGTTTTATTGTTTAGCTTAGAAGAAAAGAAACTTGGTGCACACTGTGTTGTAGAGATGACAGGCTCAGGCACTACCTTCCCCTGCCTCCCATAGTTACTGTGATTTAATTCTAAATGTTTGGCAGATTATTTGTTTGGTAAAGATTTATCTTTTGTCTTTAAAAGCTAGGTCAGTGGAAAGTCCAGTCCTGTGAAAAGAAACTCAGATACGTATGCAAGAAAAAGGGAGAAATAACTACGGATGCACGGTCTGATAAGCTGTGTCCCCCAGATGAGGTAGGTAAAGCACCTCTGTTGGTTCCTGAAGCGGAATTATCCCTCTGTGGTTAAAGATGATATCTAAGCTTAAACAATTCGAACTTGGAAAGTGAAAGCACTGGTTTCTGTTCGTACATTTAAGGAAAATTGAGAAGGAGGAGAATCCTAACACACAAGTGTTCTTATTGAAAGAAAAAGCTCACCTATTCATGAATTCCTTTAAATATGTAAATATGACTACTGTCCTCAATGTCAATAGTTAGATCTCCTCCAACAATAGTACTCTTCCTGAAAACTAATGCAACCAACAGCTGCAATAGGGTGAGTCAGGGAGAAAGGGCAAAGAACACTATGCCACACCTCAGTCATGTAGAGGTCACGTGACCTGTGAACCTGCGCTCCATCCTTCCCAGGTGAGGACAGTCATGTCCTCTGCTTCTTCGGGTTAGACAATTTTGTCAGAGTCAGGGGGCTGGGGTGGGGATATCATTAAGACTCAAATCCTGTGACGGTGTTCCTCTTCTGACTTAGGGCTGGAAGAGACATGGAGAAACCTGTTACAAGATTTATGAGAAAGAGGTTCCTTTCGGAATGAACTGCAACCTGACCATCACCAGCAGGTGTGATCATCAGTACACAAGTAGTAGAAGACTTTTAACTGACTTTCCCTAAACAGTCTCCTAAGGAAAAAAAGTGGGAGGGAGAGGGGCTTTTTATTTCAAAAACTGTGAGAATGGTTTGTCCTCTGTAGGTTTGAGCAGGAATTCTTGAATGATATGATGAAGAACTACGATAAGTCCCTCCAGAAGTACTTCTGGACTGGCCTGATAGACACTGACTCCCGAGGAGAGTACAGTTGGGCTGTTGCTGGGGGAGTAAAGCAGGCTGTGACCTTTTCCAACTGGAATTTTCTTGAACCGGGTAAGTGCTTTATGAAGGGCTGGCAGTGCTTTAGGACAGAGCTGACAGGAGGGCGTTGAGGTAGTGCTGAGTCCCACATTTTCATGTAGCACCAGATTTGCAGTTAGTCAGTCTACAAAGCTTGCTTGTGTCTGACTATTTGGGTTCCCCCAGCAGACATAAGCATCTAGAAGGCCCTGTGGCACTAGGGACAGAGAAAAGCAGCTGCAGAGTGATTCACAAGGCACCATAACTTAGTATGGTGCCAAATCTACCTGTGGTTCTGATTTTATGATTTTCCCCGAAGCTCGTTTGTGCTCAGGTGAAAGGTGGAGTGAGGAGCCTAGGGAAGCAGAAGCTAGTCTCTTGCTTCGGATTGAGTAACTATTCTAAATACTAATTTGTTAGAGATTAGTATGCTCATAGCAACTACTTGCAGTGATGAAGTAGGGGCAGAACGTGTCTAGAGAAGGATAACGTAGAGAGAAAGATAAGAAGGCACAGGCTCAGCTGGGCATGATGACATACACCTTTAATCCCAGTACTTAGAATGAAGAGGCAGGTAGAGCTCTGTGGGTTCGAGGCCAACCTGATCTCCATAGTAAGTTCCAGAAAGCCAGAGCTACATGGCCTATAGGAAGAAAACAAAAGAGCACAGGCTCAGTAAAGTGCAGAAGCCCTTGCTAACCAGATGCTTCACACCAAAATAACAAAACAAAACAAAAACAAAAAAAAACAAAAAAAAGAACAAACGAAAAAGCAAAACAAAACAAAAAACACACAAAAAAACAGACAAACAAAACAACAACAAAACACAAAACCCACAAACAAACAAAATACATGTGTGAAATCCATGGTTAAAACTAAAGTAATGTCAGTGAGTTCTGCGTAATGCCCTGTCGACACCCACCTCCTAACAAGGTCCGAGAGGAGAAGGAGTACCATCCCCTCTAGTTTAGCTTTGAGAGACTTAAAGGGGTGGCATGGAGGAATGCCACCAAAGGAGTACCAATTGCCCTATGAGGAAGCTCTCATTTGTATTATAACGATACTGCCTAATTAAGAAGCAAAGTGGTAGACCATAGAGTGGCAAAACACCGAATGCCTCCCAAGCGTGCCCTTCACCTGTGCTTGGGTATAAGGGTGTCAGTGATGTTTAGAACTGGAGTCTGTGAACCCACAACAGAATCAATGCTTTCTTTGTCTCCACTAAGACCATGAGGATAATCCATTTCCAGAGCATTTGCCTGACTACTCAGAGCCAGCACCAGCACTGCAAGTGTGAGGGTTAGGTTTGTTTTGTTAGGTTAGGTTTTTGTTTGTTTGTTTTTTGTTTTTGTTTTTGTTTTTTGGGGTGGGAGTATTTTACCCCCTCCTTTAACGTAAGTCTCAAATAAAATTTAAACATTTCCTATGAAGTATTTTACATTTTTATCAATCTCCTGACTTCATCCTGCAGAATTAAACATGTATTTGTAATAGTCTTCATGAGAATAAATTAGGAAAGCTGTATAAGTTAGCATTTTTTTCTTTTTTTTTTAAAGATTTATTTATGTATGAATACACCGTTGCTTTCTTCAGACACACCAGAAGAGGGCATCAAGTTCCATTACAGATGGTTGTGAGCCATCATGTGGTTGCTGGGAATTGAACTCAGAACCTCTGGAAGAGCAATCAGTTCTCTTAACCGCTGAGCCATCTCTCCAGCCCTAGCATTTCTTTCTAAAGTTAGTTCATCTTTCTTCAAACAGCCCCAAGCATTGATCATAATTTACCATGGAAGCCAGAAGAACTAATGTAGAAGTTCCACCTGGTTTTACAGCTGGGAAAATACAGGCTTCAGTGATTCGTTTAACAAAATATACCTGGTTATTGATCAGTAAAATCCATATCTCCTGACTGTGCTGTCAATACTGTGTAGATTGACTTGTTCAAATAAGATAGGAGTCACAAGTCATTCTCCTTTCCTCTTTTCAGATGTCTGATATTGACTGGTGTTGATATAATGTGATCATTGAGATATTTCTCTGTAGCATGGAAACTGTTACTCTTTCTCCTCTGTCCACCTCAGACCACATGATACTGATGGTAAAAGACACTTCCCATGACCTTCTGCCAGGTGGATCCCTGGGCTCAGGCCCAGCTGCACCTCTCAGAAACCGTGAGCATGGACACATCATTCGGTCTGTGTTTGAAAAGATCTGATCATACAAACTACCTTTGAGTGTTACGAGCAAATAAAATCTAGATGGCCATAAGCCGAGTTGTGAGTAAGTGTGTATTTCCACTGGCTCCTTCTGCTTTCAGTGTCCCAGCCCTTCCTGTAGATCTGACTCTGGGAAGGCTTAGTTTTGAAGTTTACTAACTAGCTTTAGAATTTTCAAAGCTGTTAAGCTACTCTGAGCCACTATCCTGAGCCGCTATCCTCAAGCATGGTGATTTCCCACACTGCCCTGGAAACAGACTGCTTGAGTTCAAAGCTAGGGCCAACTTTTGTTAAGTGTAACCTTTAAGAAGTCACTTAGTCTGCCAGTCTGCATACTGAGTGCTATATGCTGGGATCTGAGGGGCTCTGGTCAGGCTGAAGCGGCCAAAGAGTTGCAGCTATCCCAGGGGAAGCTGGAACCAGGTGGGCTGCAAAGAGTAGGTGGCTAGGAGCTGATGTTGGGGCCACCAAGCAGGAAGTGGCTGAGGTAGGCTCGAACACACAGCTGGTGGGGCCAGGTCGAGGTCCAGCGACCTTCAGGAGAGAATACTCTTTTCTGGAGTGTTACAACTTGCTAAGACAGGTCTCTCAGACGGTCTCTGGTGAAATAGCTCATGCACTTTATCCCCGTGGATAGGATCTTACAAACATCTGGGAATGAGTTGGGATCTAGAGGCCAAAACTTCCTGTTGGCTAGGTCTGAGATGTTAGGGAGGCCTCTAACATGTGGAAAGATTTCAGGTGCTATCCCTACAGGGCTGATTGTCACATTCCTCTCAATGGGATGTCAGGGTTACATGTTCCAGGACAGGAACCTGGTCAGGAGTAGATTTAAATGTCTGCGATTCTCTATTATGAAAATTGCCAGGCTTCCTGAATCTGTTTGACCTCACCAGGTTTTCTGTCTGGTGGCCCAGTCCTCTGTCCACATCCACCCTCACTGTACTTCAGTTCTGACAATAGAATCCATCTTGTAGGGGTGACTTAACAGGTCCCCGTAGAATGATACCCCATGGCACACACTTGTGTATGATGCCCACCGTCCTCATTGCTATTCTCAGCATCCCATTTCTTCCTCTCTCTCCTCCACTGTTCCTCCAACTCTCTCTCCTCTGTCTTGGCTCCGAGCAGATGTTTAAACTTTGAAATTTTTCATTTTTCTCTACGGCCTTGTACCACCCTGACGGCACCTGATCTCCTCTTAAAGTTTTAATGTTTAATCAACCTTTCCGAACCAACCTCAGCGTCTCCAGGTGGGTGTGTGGCCATGTCTACTGGAAAGACTCTTGGCAAGTGGGAAGTGAAGAACTGCAGAAGTTTCCGAGCACTTTCAATATGCAAGAAAATGAGGGGACCCCAGGAGCCCGAGGAAGCAGCCCCCAAGCCCGACGACCCCTGTCCTGAAGGTTGGCACACTTTCCAGTCCAGCCTTTCTTGTTATAAGGTAAAGTCGTGGTCTCATCCGACCTGTCCATGGGGTCATCCCTCTGCTCTCCTTGTTCATGTCATTCTACAAATTATGTGCCTCCCTGTAGGCACACAGTGCCTCACACCAATGTTTGGAAGCATGGCATCCTTAGCAAAGCATCATGGGTCTCTGGTATCAGACAGCTCAACTCTACCCATGCCTTGCCCTCAAAAGCAAGACTAAAGCCAGAGTGACCTTTCGCCCATGCTTCCTTCCCTCTGAGAAGCTGGGTGACCTGCAGCCTGCTGATATTGTATGCAGGATTCCCCTAAGGCCCTAATTCTTCTTATCAGATTAAAATTCCTTCTTATATAATGAGAGCCAGTTCTTATTGGGTTAAGAAAAACAACAACAATTTGGCGTCTGTATCTTTCATGTAGTTCCATAAACAAAGCTTTCAATACCACTCTCAAACTCCAAGGTGATCACATATATAGACCTCTAGTTCCCTTAGGGTTTGACAGATAGGCTGTGAATTCTTGCAGAGTTTGGTCAGCTGGCTGGGCTGTGATCTGGTGTCTGTTACTCTTCACTCTAGGGCTCAGGCTAAAGGGTGGCAGCTGTCAGACTGTTTTTTTCTCATGGTAAATTACTGAAGCCCAAGAAGAGGACCACAACCACGTTGGTATAGTTTAGGCCTCTAGCCTCAGCATACTCCATGGCCAGGCCCTGTGTGAAGGTGGGGAGAACTGTGTTCCTCCCACCAGGAGTCATGCTTAAAGTATAATTGAATATATGACAGGGAACTGAAGAGTTAGGACCAGTTTTCCGACAATGCTGTTTTGTCTTCTCTGCCTGCTCCCCCACTCCCTTCTGTTTTGAAGTAGCTAGGCTCTTTTGGCGTAGAGTTAATCGTCACAAATCAAAGAAACAGTCAAAAGTGCCAGGTTTCGATTTGGCACTGTCTGTCGATGTTCACACACCCATATAGATAGCTCTTTGATTGTTCCTGATCAGAAGGCGAGCCCTGTTCTTCTGCAGGCTCTGTGTTTGATGCTCAGAATTACACTGTTGGCATATTTCTTTGCAAAAGACTACTTGCAGAATGTTCCTGGGTACTCTTTCAGCCTTGACTCTTGGTGCGATTTCTCTTCAAGGTCCTAAGTTTGCAGATACTTTTTGGAGCAGTTCTCCAGCCTGCCTAGAGAAGGCTACTCACCTGGTGGTGTGGCCATCGCTGTGTGAGTTTCTGGTTCACTCTGGGCAGGACTTGTCTTGTTTGCTGTATGTACATTTATTTAGTTATGCTTCCATTTCCCCTGATGGAATTCATGTCGGAGACCCGCACGTTTGACTGCAATTGATAAATCTATGAGTATTTTAGGATTATTCCAGAATAACAATATTCTGTTTTTATTAAGGTGTTCCATATAGAAAGAATCGTAAGAAAGAGGAACTGGGAAGAAGCCGAAAGATTCTGCCAAGCCCTTGGAGCGCACCTACCCAGCTTCAGTCATAGGAGTGAAATTAAGGACTTTGTTCATTTGTTAAAGGACCAGTTCAGGTAATAATTCTAGAGCAAGTGTTTTTGACCTAATGTCAAATACCTGATATCATCTTGGTATTCAAGTTGTTGTGATTTAGCATCTAAGGAACCATTCACAGTCCTGCAGCATCCAGCACCTTACTGCAAAATACCATAGAGATTCAAAGCCAACCGAGGGATAGTCCTCCCGCTTTGTGTAGCACGTTCCAGCAGCTGGGTTAAGAAAAGTGTGGCAAAAGTATGGGGCAAAGACAAGGAGAGCCTGGGAATACGCCAGAGGGAGGGAGTGTGTCTGGTGTAATCAGGGCAAAAGCCATGAAGGAGGCTGATTCCTAAGAAGGTACACGGTGGAAAGGTAAGAGAGGAAAAGGAGCCAGAGAACACAAAACAGAAAGGGGGTTGTGAGAAAAGAGTGAAGAGCCAAGGAGCGAAGAACAACAGAACGTGAGAATGGAGGTGAAAATGGAATGGCTTGCTAATCAGGGAAGATGTTTGATCCTAAGGGGGAAGCATCAAATGAAGTTAGTCTTCAAATAGTTTCAGCTGTGAAAAGGCTAGTTGTTATAAACCACCCCTGTGTTCCTATAGACAGACCCCTGTATAATGGCACAGACAGGGCCAGGATGTGGGTCAGCGGTGGCATGCTCGCCTACCACCTGTGTGCTCTACATTCTATCCCCACGAATGCAAAAAGAACGCAGAGTGGGTCTGTAGGTACTCTCAGGGCAACTAGTTAGAAAACTACCACAATGGCCCCCGTGGAAGCCACATGTAGTAAGGACAGTAAGAAAGGAAACTATCAAGTGGCTACCATCACTGTGGTTGTAACGTCAGCATGGAAGGCTTTTCTGACCTGGTTTCCCTGATGCCTCTCTGGACACCATAGAAAAATATAGGTCAGCTGATGCTTTCCAGTCACAGGGATTAGGGGCTTCAAACACCACAAAATTACCTTCTCTTCACTTTTCTGAACACTGAATGGTGTTTGTTTGTTTAATCAAGGTGTATTAGGATAAATAACTTTTTAAAAAAAATACATGAACATATTCTAGTAAATATTTTCTCTGTGATTGTGAATCCAACAAAAGCCCTTTCTCGTGAAATAAAAGTTTACTAGAAAAATGAGAAAAATCTAACCAGCCTTATTATTTTTTGCACATGATTAACTATAAAAGACGTGTGAAGATCAGTATCTAAAGCATATTAAGGTAGGAGACACTGGCTATGTGTTTAGTTCCCAGTTAATTTCATTTTTGAAGAGACTGATCTAAACTGTGTATGTTGCACCCTTTGAAAAAAAGACATGTCAAAGCCATACACGAGCTCAGATGTGAATTTTAAAAAAATCAAGAACACTCAAAATTAAGTAATTTATTATAAAAGAATTCAAAGCAAGAATATAGTGTAACCACAAGACTTGATAGTTAATGTATTAAAGTATTCCTCTTAAAATAAAAAGAAAAGTGTATGGGACATATCTGTGCTATGGTGTGTGCGTGTGTGTGTGTGTGTGTGTGTGTGTGTGTGTGTGTGTGTGTGCGCACGCTGAATATCATCAGAGGACAACCTTCAAGTCTCCCTTCTCTCCTTTGACCCTCTTGAGGCAGGGTGTGTCTTGTTCCTGGCAAACTGTACACTCTGGACTAGGTGGCCCAGGAGCTCCCAGCTAATTCTCCTGTGTCCACCTTCCACCTCAGCACAGGAGGGCTGTGGATGCATGCCACTGCATCTGGCTTTTATAAATGGCTGCTGCGGTCAAACTCAGACCATCAGACATGCTTGGCAGATGCTTTCACCTGCTGAGCCATCTCCACAGCCCCTGAAACCTTCCTTTATTGTATTTTTCTCTTTCATAAATAACAGGTTTTTAACACTCTAAATAAAAACTGGACTGTAGAAATATAAAATAGTTGTGAAAATATGAAAGTATGATAAATTGCTGTTTTTTCTGGAAACCATATTTTAGAAACATTTAACATGCAGTAGAGTTTAAGAGTACATGCCCATAAATCAGATGTATAAGGGGAGGGAAGCAGTGTGATGTCCATGTGGAGAGTTATAAGAAATGAAATAATGAAAGATTAATCTAGCGTAAAATAAGTTGGCAAGGGCCCAATTTGTACATTATCAGTTTTGATTAAGTCCAAGTCTACAGATTTGTTCAATAATGAAATTTAATTCTGTTTTGCTAGAAAATACGTAAAACAAATCTGGCCGTTAGTGCTTGCCTAGCCCTGAGATTATGGTATTGCCATCCTGGGTGGAATGAAACACAGACAGTTTTAAAGTGGAGCCTTTCGGTAGAGTCCTTCTCTTTAAATTTAAGAGGAATGGTGATGTTTTGTGTACAGAGTGTAAGGGGCTCACTGACGCGGGTGTCACTCAGTTGCTATGTCCCTGGCTTACTACGTTTTGATACATATGGCGAGCCTGTGCTGTCTGTGTGGTTGTCTTATGTTAACTCAAATATCAAAGGGATTAACAGCCACAAGCTAGATATTATAATAGACACTGAAACTGCATCTAGAAAAACGCCTTATCCAGTTCAGGCTTAACATATAAATATATCATATATTTGATAGGTTTAATTGAAATATTAAATAGTATTGCATTAGAAATATAACACTTAAGTCAGTATCTATCATAGTTAATGATAGAGCACTTTAAAATGCATTCTCATAAAAGAAAGAAACGGGTAAGGATATCTATTACTGTTACTTTTGAGCTATTTTGTAATTTAATACATACTAAGATATAAAATTTTATTATGTGTAAACATATTGTCTTCAGTGAAGAAAAAGAAAGATCATAAAAACTGTCCAAAATATGCTATTTACATTGGAAACTAGTCTGCAAAATACATAGAAATAATCAATGGATATTACATCTAGCATTTTGAGTGATTTTTAAAATATTCCATTAGAAGTTTGGGGTTTTTTTTACCATATTTCACAGGTTTATCATAGCCTATACATACATACATACATACATACATACATACATACATACATACATGGGCATGATGACATTTCCTGAAATCAATCCTAGCATTAGGTGATGGGGTAGCAAGAGAATCCGGAATTCTAGGTCACCCTTGGCTACATAGGGAGTTTAAAGATTGAACCCTGATTTTCATGAATGCTAGGCAAGTATTCTATCATTGAGCTATTCCCGACCCTCCTCATTTTTCTTTTGAGACAAAAGTCTCATGTAGCTCAGGCTGACCTCATAGATTATCTAAAACCCATTTCTGAAATCATACTGATTATCAATCTTCAAAATTCCACTGATCAACCTGTTTATGACATTGAGAAGAAAAAGCAAAGCCTTTGGTATCTTGTAGGATCAGAGAGGTCCTTGTGGTAGCTGCCTCCAGAATATGACCCATTAAATAAATACACTGCCAATGTTACCTGAAGTTTGGATTTTGAACAAGGCAACCTAATAAGATCACAAACTTCAAACTCACACCATCTCGTGTTCACACCTGTGCACGCGCGCGCGCACACACACACACACACAGACTCATACACACTATCACACCATCACACTGTCTAAGTGAAGCATTCTTAGAAAACATTTACAGAACAAACTCTCAATTCTATGCAAGGAGTTACTATCTCCAGTTGGAACAGGAAGCCATGGATAAATGCCGAGCAATATATCTGCAGATATTTGAGGGGATCAATTAATAGAAAACTGCCATAGTCTTACATGGTAGAAATAGCCATTCAGAACATCTACGGGCAAAGTAGATTATACAGGGAGACAAAGCTGTGTCAAAAAAAAAGGCTACTTTTATTGATTTGTTATCTTTTAGCACTATTGAACACCCTCCTTAAAAATTGGTATGAGTTCATATGTAAAACTCATCAAATAGAAAGTATATAAAAATGTAATGAAGAAAATGAAAACCATTTCAAATATTGCTTATAGACAACATTTTGTGGAAATTCTCTCCATTTTCTTCCATTCCTATACACATTTTCATTAAAATATCTGAAAATGTATTAATTAATTTTTATCTGTCTATAGAAGTATTGCATACTGAAGTTGGAAAATAGGAAACTGTAGAGCAAAAAGAAATAAATAAATAAACAACCTAATACCGTCACCTGTAGGAACCATATTTTAATTTTATACTCATGCCAGCAGGCTGGCAAAGGTCATATTAAGCAGACTGTGTCATCTGCTTATAAAAGCGCCATTATAAAGCAATTATTTGCTTGGGACTTGTCTAGAAAAAGCGTATTCTTTAAAACCAAGGTGGCCACAATTGTTGAAAGGAAAGGAAGGAAGCGGGGTCATTTACACTAGAAAATGATTATGAAGTTCACTCCTTGAATGTGTTAACTTTTATTACTGAAATTGACCTTCTCTGCAAGAACCTTGCTGCCCACCCCAAATCTATATCACTTGTCACGGAGTTAAGACTGATGACTGCTTTATTTCTCAGTCTAGGTTCTATATCTCTGTTTGGATTTTAGTAGGAAAAAAAAAGATTCATGATACACCAGCTCGTTAAGGCTCTTAGACCATTGCGACTCCTGACGGCATCCCAATGGGAAACCATTGTGGAGTCAAAACAGCCCTGGGCTTAGAGAAGAAAGCCTTGTTTGCAGCCATTGCTGTTGTGTGCATTCCCTCCTGTGCAGAGGCATAAATGGCTTTAGATATAAATCTAGGCTTCGAGGACTAAGGGCCCTCATCAAATAGTGTCTATTGGGGGTTGTGGCTCACATACTGTTTTCCTTAGCAACCAAATGCTGCAGGAAATTGGACTCAGAGTCAGAATTTTAACACATTCACACTTACTAACCCTTTATGCAGCATCTCCAAATAGCCTCGGAACTATATGCTTAGTGTGTGGAGTAGAAACAGTTTAGAAAGAAAATGGGAATCTTTCATTTTGATCTGATTCTCCAGTTACGATCAGGAACATTTTTTTTTTCTCTCTCCAGCTTTCTTGAAATCTGTTTTAGCAGCAGTATGCAGTGAATAATGTCGTTTCCAGCTTCTTCTTTCCTTTCTCTAGCAACAGCTAAGGAAGGTAAAACTCTGAACAAATTGTAATTCAGAAATTACTTTCTCCTCTACTCCCAACCCCTACACCACACACACACACACACACACACACACACACACACACACAGTACCTACTGTTCTCTGTATTTATACTTCCATATAGGGAATCCCTTCAAATGAAGCTGAAAACTAAATTCAGGATAGAAACAGAGCTCATTCTCTGGATGTAGTGACAATTAGAGCTACTTTACACAACTGAGCAAACTCTATAAGAAACCACCCTCTACTCTTCAGCAAAGGACTCAGAAATAAACTGAAAAGTAGAGAGGTTTATCAGTTGGAAGATGGAGATCCACTGGCTAAGAGGAGACTGATGACAGACCCAGGAGCCATGGAAGGATTGGGCAGACCATGGCAAAGCCTGGGAGTATTGGGTAGCTGTTTGAATCTAAACAATAGGTGAGTTTTGGTCTTTCTTCCTAAATGAGTAACAAACTGTTACTATATAAGATAAACACTCGAAAGCATATGTTAGAGAATTTCCCAGGATGAAGTATATAAGGAAAGACTTGGAAGAAATAGTTATATTGTCATATGAGTTTGAGGGAAAAACTTAGCCCCTCTGCCTTAGCCACCAGGCTGAAGGGTGACCTGTGGGTGGTCACTGTCTACACCCTGTGGTTTAGGGACTTGTGATACAGCAGGAAGGCTGAGAGAGAGCTGAGAGACAGCTGACAATTGGAAATTCCTTGTAGCTGCTGAATTTAAACTGGACTTAATCGTCTCTAATAGATTTTATCTGCTCTGTGAACTGCTGATTATTATCCACAAATCTAACAGCATAGCAAATGTCGTTATAGAATTCTTATTCTCTAAGTTAAACAAGTTGAAAACATGAGAAAATACTGACTGTTATTAAACTATTGGGGAACGTTAAGACAAGGAAAGCATGTGAGGTTTTGTTGTTGGTTTTTGCTGTTTTGTTTTGTTTTAACTCGTCTTGTCTTGTCAAAGATCTTGCTGTGTAACTCAGGCTGAGCTGGACCAGGCTACCTAGCCCAAGTTGGCTTCATACTAGTCATCCTTCTGCTTCTGCATCTAAGTGCTAAGGTTATAGGTGTGTGTGACCATGGCCAGCTGCAGTTGTTTTATTAAAAAGTAAGAAGGTGGTATAAAGTTAGGTTGGTACTTCAGGTCACTAAAAATTGCATAAAGATATTCAGGCTTATACTTCTCAGTAACTTTATAGCTGTGCATTCTATATATTCTGTATATTCTACAAAGCTAAACAGTACCAATTATTTTTGCATTTGGGTCCTACCTCTTCTGAACTACATATTAATATTATATTTATGTATATATTATATATGCATGTATATGTTTTATGTGCATATTACATATGTGCACAATATATTCATATTGTATTTATGTATATATGATGTCTACATTTTTATATTTTATGTACATATATATGTATATATATGTGTGTATATATGTTTATATTATATTTATGTATATGTTATGTATGCATGTATATGTGTATATGTGTTGTCCCAACACAAACTTAAATTAAAGGGATAGAATTTGGCTACTTATTTAAGCCTAAGAAGTCTAGATTTTAAGGAATGTTTTCTGTTGAAATTAGAGACCGAGGAAGGTTTTGCAATTGGATCATTTGTCATATACGTATGTCCGATAGAGGGAAAGGTATGCGTGTTCCTGTCTTTATGTTTGTATATATTCCTCTGTGAGGCATCTAGCTGCATTCCACTGGAACATTGTAAGCACTTGGATTTCTTGCTCCAAAAAAAAAAAAATAGCCATCTTTTGAAGACTTCTTCCTCCAACCTCAGGAAGTGTTTGTGTATTGCAGTCCTTTGTGACCTCTCTATATGCTATAGTTGGATAATATTTAGACTTTATACACTTCATTTGGTAACTCCCATGGGCTCATATGTATCATGTTTCCTTGGCTGGGATATCTTCTGTTTGACAGGAGGCATCAGATCTCACACTTCTCTGTAGCATCACTACACCCACCCAGCTCGGTGCTATTACATAGAAATATAAAGCTAATACTATTAAATATAATCATGGAAGCATTTTCTATTAAGATTTTTAAAAATGACTACTTGCTCACTTTGAAATTACTGGACAGTGGGAATTAAAGTATTTTAATTTTTTGTTTAGTAAAATTTTAAACCGAATAGCTTATTTTACATCATAAAGACATTTGATAATGCTATAAAGAGTGTGAGTGTGTGTGTGTGTGTGTGTGCGCGCACGCGCGTGTGTGTGATGGAACCTAGGGCCTTGAACATTGTATGCAAGTGTTCCACCTTTGAGCTACATCTGTAACCCCTAGACACTGTTTTTAAAATGCCATTGTTGGGGCTGGGGATATAGGTCACCTTGTCAAGAACCCACCCAAAGCCCAGAATCCAAGTGCCAGCACCGAATAAGACATGGTGTCTCGTGCCTCTAATCCCATCCCTTAGGAGATGGAGACAAGAGGATGAGAAGTTCAGGATCACTCTTGACTGCACACAGGGAGCTCAGGGCCGTCTTCAGCCTCATGACCCCCACCCCCACCCCATCTCAAAAACAAGACAAGCAGCCTGAGCAGAGACTCATGGTTTAGGGAACTTGCTGCTCTTACAGAAGACCCTGCTTCGATTTCCAACACCCACATCATGGCTCACAGTATCCGTAATTCCGAGTCTAGAAAAAGAAGACAGGCAGACGGCCATTATTGCCACTGAGTCTATCTGAAAATATTGCCTAATATGAAACATTACAGTAAGAACTTATAATGGTTGTAGTTTCTGTTTAAAATCCAAAGCAGAATAGATATTTTTTTTACCTTTCATATACAGAAAGTGACTTAAAATTTAGTTTAAAGCATGTGGTATCTTATGGGGAGGGATTTGTAAGGCTGGCAAGAGAGAAGGAGGGGGAAAGGGGATGTTACAATCAAGATGAAAAGTGAATAAATTAAAGAAGTAAGGAAAAACATGTGGTACCTTTTCTATGGCTGCTCTGGGCTAAGGGCTTGATTTTTGTTTCTTTGTGTAGCTTAAGATTGTCTTTCCTGTTGGTTTCAAACTCCTGAATACATATGAATACTTTAAACATATGAATGCTAAATATGTTTATCGTATATTGTCCTAAACTTCTAATACTGCCTCCTTTTTTTTTTTAAACATAGTGGACAGCGTTGGTTGTGGATAGGTCTGAATAAAAGAAGCCCTGATTTACACGGGTCCTGGCAATGGAGTGATCGTACACCAGTAAGTTATAACTTTCATGTTGGAAAAAAATGGAAAAATGTTTCTTTCAAATTCATTGTTAAATAAAACATCCACATCTAAAATTTGTATGGAACTATGGAAGACCCTGGTTAGCCAAAGAAGTCTCCACCGTAAGGACAACTCTGGGGATGTCATTCTACCAAAGTATATCATTCTTTCTGAGAAAGCTACAGCATATTGATACTAGCATGCTGAAACATGATACTGGGACAGATTGAGGAGGGGGAGAGGTTTGTCAAAAGATATAGAATCTTATTTAGATAATCAATAAGTTCAAGAGGTCTATCGTTATGCCATATGGGACCATAGTTAACAACCGCACACATCGTGGCAGCTGTCTGAGGAAATGCATGTGCTAGCTAGATTCAGTGGCTCTAAGTGTGTGCTCATTAAAACACCGTTAGGACACAAGCAGTTTTACCTCAATTAAAAAGACAAAAACCCATCTACAAACTATGACATCCTTCGAATTATTTACACACACATGTATTGAAATAGAAACAGATTTACTTACAGGGTATGGGAAGAAAGACACAAAGTATTCTTCTGTATTAAGCATAATAATAGTCAAACTTGAGTAATACTTGAGTGTTTACGTTATCTAAAGAGAGGTTTTACATGATAGTGTGTGTGTGTGTGTGTGTGTGTGTGTGTGTGTTTAAATTATTGGACTTTTACATGTTGCCAAGCTAGCATTACAAAATATCCCTGGATATCAAAATTCTCACAGGAAAAAATAGAGGCAAAATTCAGTATCCTAGGGATAAGAATTTCCTAGCTATTCTTAGAGATTTTCCTTTTTCTTTTTTGGTTTTTATTAATTGAGTTATGTATTTACTTTACATCTTGATCACAGCTTCCTCTCCCTCCTCTGCTCCCAGTCCTCTCTCAGCCCCCCCCCAACCACCCCTCCTTCCCTTCTCCCCTTTCATGGGAGGCCTTCCATGAATATCAACTAGCCTTGGCATATCAAGTTGCAGTAAGCCTAGGCAGGCTTCTGTTGAGGCTAGACAAAGGGATCTAAAGGTGGGCAACAGAATCACGGACAGCCTTGCTCCTGCTGTCAGGAGTTCCATGGCACAGGACACTTTTAAGGGCCCATTTCCCAGAGACTGCTATTTATGTCAGTTCATTCTGTGTTCTTGCTAAATGACAGCATCCATACTTTGTTTTCAAATTGAGGGATAGCTGAAATTAATCAAATATACCACATCTCAAAATACTAAAAAAAAAAAAAAAAATTCTGGCTCTGGGGGTGATTTAAGGCCCCGCCGACCCCACTTCTGAGACCGTGGTTTCATGGGAAAGTAAGGACACTTCTGCAGTTCCTGAGCCCTCACATGACTTGGTATCCAAATTGGTCACAAAATGAAGTATGAGAATGTTTTCTTTCTGTGGCCAATGAGTGCGTTTGGACTATTAAAGCTGCCTAAACTGTATGGAAGTTGCCAATATTGCATCATCCTACGTTCTCAAGGCTGACTTATCTTCTCAGGTATCTGCTGTGATCATGGAGCCCGAGTTTCAACAGGATTATGACATCAGAGACTGTGCTGCTGTCAAGGTTAGTACCAACTGGAAAATCAGTATTAAAAATAAAATCCAAGGACTGACATCAGAGCTCAGTGACAGAGTTCATGCTTAGCCTGTGTGAAGCCTTGAGCTTGCCCCTCACACCACACTCAAAGCTGGCATCATGTAAGGTCAGGCAAAACATCCCTCGAATACCGTCTGGTCATGCAGTGTGATGCCAACAGCAATGGAAAGCATACTCAAGCAGTCTGACTTACACTTAATTTAAGAAAATAAAATTTATATTCAAAAGCCACAGCTTTCTCATCACTATAGAGTAAGGTGCCTCAAGAGTGGCCTGCAGATAGCCGAAGAAAAGCCAAAAGGGGAATGATCGCTAAGGTCTGTCCAGAAAGAGTTGGGATTTGGCCTTGGTCTCTAAGGATAGATAGAGTTGCACAGGCACAACAGGGCAAGACTTTCTAATGGGCAGTAATGCAAGAATACAATGTAAGTTTGATCAACAGTGAGAAGAACAAGATGTATCCAGTTTTATTTGGAATTACACTAAAAACAGTCCTTGGAGGATGGGGAGATGGCACAGTGGTTTAGAGTGCTGGCTGCTCTTCCAGCGCTGTGGAACTGGGTTTCCACCTGACGGCTCATCACTCCAATACAGGAGATATGTTGTCCTTTCTGACACCCATGGGTACCAAGCACTCCAATGATGCAGAAACATATGCAAGTAGGACCCTCATATACATATAGTCAAATTAATTTTTAAAAAGTGTTGGAAAATCAAATTGCTGTCAAGTTAAGGTGCTTGGACTTCTGCGGGAGTTTTTGGTTGGTTGGTTCAGTTTGGTTTATTTTTGATAGGAACAGGATGTTTTTAAAACTGAGAAAGGATAAGATGAGCCAGGGTAGTGAATGTGAGCCAAGGGTGTGAGGAAGATTTATCTTGAGCCACGTTTCCAAGATGCAGCAGCTAGGACTGGACAATATCACAAGCCCATAAGGCATCTTGTACAGACTCCATTTGTTTATCCATTTTATAAGTGATGCGTCTGGAAGGTTCATCAAGGTACTAGAAGGTATCAGTGATTGGGTCCTTCACAAGAGTCCAGCATAGCAAGAGATGGACAGTGCAATAAGCTCTGATACCATTGGCTAAGGGTTCCAATAGGCGAGAGAGAAGGGGTAGACAATGAGGGGTCATTGTAAGAACGAAGATGATATTGGTCTTATGATGGTCGTTATAGATCCTTTATAAGCCAGGCCCTGGAGTAGGCACTTAAATGTGCACAGTCTTGTGAAGTAGGTGCAGTTGCCATAATCCTCATGTGGAGAGCGAGATTCCAGCTTAGATGTGTCAGAAGATAAACTTAAACCCACATATGTCCAGGTCCATGATATTTTACCACTGTGCTATTTCCCCATGTCCTAGCACATCTATCTCCATGGCTGGACCTGGCCAGGGTGGTGAAGAAATGGAGAAAATACAGACACACAGACATGCAGACACGCAGACACACATACAGGCTGGGAACAGGAAGACTGGTGTCTCTGCTGGAGAAACCACGCCACGCCACTCCAGAAGTTCACCTTGTTTATTATATAGACTTGACCTGAGAGGCAGGGTTTTTGCACACAGCTGAACAAGGAGATAGACTCAGCTAATCCAGTAGGAACGGCCTCTGGAGGCAAGCAATCAATCCTCAGGCTGTAAATTTCCAAGGGAAAAAGCTATGGTAGACATTTTCTGCACAATCAACATCTACATCCATAGCCCCTGGTGAAGGCTTTAGGATCCTTGGCATGACCACCATGTCAGCAGCACCCATTCCCTCGGGGCTTCCTCTACCCTCTATTCTGCTGGTAAGTTATTCATTGAAACAGAAAGCTGGGTGCCATACTGTGCACCTTTAATCCCAGCACTCAGGAGGCAGAGGCAGGCAGATCTCTGTGGGTTCAAGGCCAGCCTAGTCTACAAAGTGAGTTCCAGAACAGCCAGGAGAGCAACTCAGAGAAATCCTGTTTCAGAAAAAGAAGAAAAAAGAGAGAGGGAGAGGGAGAGGGAGAGGGAGAGGGAGAGGGAGAGGGAGAGGGGAAGAGGGGAAGAGGCAGAGGCAGAGGCAGAGGCAGAAGAAGCAGTGTTTTTCAGTGTCTGATATGTTATGATTAACTAGTTCAAATGTAGCACAGGTATAAGAGATACGTTAAGTTGTAGAACAGGGTTGAAAGGGGAAACTGAATGCTTAAAAGAGCAAAAGGCCAGGCACAGAGTAGTTTTGAGGAAAACACAGAAAGTAAGAGAAAGCAAGGAGTGAAGAGGTATGTGTGTAGAACCTTCACTCCATAACCCAAGAAAGAGTCAGACATGTGAGGTGGATACAAAGGAAAATGAAAAGAACACTGTCTTCAGGGTCACTCCTCTCATGAGCAGCTGATACCACACTCGTGCACTTTATAGGATTTACAACTCAGCACAGAGAAGCTAACACGCTGTTCAGAATTGTCTAGAACACGGACGTAATAAACTGTACTCGGAAGGTACATAGGCCTACACATATGGAGAAATTTTGAATCTGCCAAAAATAAAACAAATGGATAGAAGAGATGCCAACTGGTATCCTGTCCAGACATTCACGCCTCTCTCACCACAATACTCACAAATTTGACTTTAACAGGAAAAGAATTATAGAAGTGATGGCGGCTCCTCCCAGCTTGTGCCTTCAATGCTCCTTCTTGCCCTGATCACACATCCTACAAGCGGAGCAGCTGCACCAAAGCCTGAGCCTGCGCTGCTGGGCCCAGGGGTCACTGGCACTTTCTGATCTGCTCTGTTCTAGTCTAGCTTGGATACGACTGTAGTCGGATACAAACTTGAGAAGTACAAGATACTCAGCATATAATGTATACAGGCACGAAACTGTCCTTCTACGATACAGAACAATGAATGCATGAATACAAGGAAAAGATTTCATTGTAATTTTTGAAAGAAATGGGAAAAATGTAAAATATAAAGTTTCATGTCAGCAAAAAGAGGACAACAATTAGCATTTTGGACATAAATGCTAATGCTTTGTTTTCTTTGTCACTTGGAAAACCCTTGCCCAAGCTGTTAAGTTACTTTTTAACATTCCGTGCCTTCATCTGTTCATTTTGCAAGTGTGGTAGATGCTGGAACTAAAGAAGAGGTGAAGGCCATGGCTTCCAACATTTGGAAAGAAACGCTTCCAACCGTTTCAGAATATTCCACCATCTTTTTCACCCCTTAGGTACTTGACACACCTTGGCGAAGAACCTGGCATCTCTACGACGACTGGAGGGACTATGCTTATTCGAAGCCTTTTGCTTGTGATGCAAAACTTGAATGGGTGTGCCAGATTCCAAAAGGCAAGTCACTGCTTTCCCAACTTTGAACACTGTAAATGCTGGACCAGAAGGTATTCTGGGAAGAATGAAGCAGTAGTGAAGAGGTCAGAATTGGGCAGGCCCTCCCTTGTAACATTTAGAAGTGATTTCCAGTGAACTCCAAGATGCTAATAGTTGATGTAAATTCAAATTCAAGAAACCAGTTAAAGATGACAGTAGAGCCTCCAATGACAAGAGAGAGGGGAGAGAGGGAGGGAGGGAACGAAAGAAGGAGCCTGGTGGAGGAAGGAAGTCGGCCATGGTGGTACACACCTGTAGACTAGCACTTAGGAGCTAAAGTCAGATTGCCAGACTTGGATTGCCCGGGCTCCATAGAGATACCTTGTCTTTGACAAGATTATAAACAAGAAACCATGCTCAGTTTTAACTGTCTTCCAGTGCTCTTCGTGAAAACTATCCAAAATGAATAGAGCTGTCTCACCGAGAAAAACTAAACACACTTGATGTTAGGCAGAGCTCTGAGGAAAACCTGATGCTTTGGGTCCCAGGAACACATGAAATTAGGGCCAACAAATTTACCCTATAATTTCTAAGACTAAACAAAGGGTGTATTTATTTGAAATCGGTGTGACTGCAGCTGATACGAAGTGGAGTGGGAAGCCACTGGAGTCCTGTGAGGACCATTGCCCAGCCTTCGTGAGTAGAGACTCCCTTTTACAGAGTAGGAACTGGAGGCTCTGGAGTCAGGGGTCTGATCCAGAGTATGGCGAAGGCAAGGTGTATGTGGACATCTGACCACCCAATGTCAAAGCCCAGAATTCTACAGAGCATGCTGTATTTCCCATTTCCTTCCAGAACGCCTGAGTGACTTTCTTATTTTCCTCTCAGCTTGGTTTAGTCTTCTTTAAGAAGTCACTGCTACACCATTGCACGTTTCCCAGCCCCATCTTGGGAACTGGTGAAAATCCACCCCTCGTGTACAGACCAGATATTCAGGCTCCATTTGATGCAGAGTTGCTTTTGCTGTACTTCTCTTGGTGAGGGTGTGTGACAGCTACAGAATCTCATTCACTATTTTTGCTTTCCATCTGATGGCCATTTTTTTCTGTGTGTGACTTCCTTAATACAAACTAAAAGACAATGTTGTTCTTTCTGTTCTCATCATGGGTGCTTTACCATTGAATTACAGACCCCAATGCCAGACTACTAGCAATACTTAATTAATATTTAATAGGCCTGCCTTTTTAAAAGGTCAGTACTAAAGCAAGCATTAGTATAAATCCAGAGAAATCCCACTCAGGTGTTTCCAACTGGAAATGAACCAGTTTGATCCAAAATGAACGAGTCGCCAGGATGCTTCCCATCACCTACGTGTCTCCATTTACAGGATGCATGCTCTGTGATCCGGGACTAACCATAAGCCATTGCTGTCTTCTCACACAGGTAGCACTCCCCAGACGCCAGACTGGTATAATCCAGGTAAGTTGAGCATCAGAATTTAGCCGACTCAACTTGGATCTTTTTGGATAATGCCTGTAATTTGTTGTTAGTTACTACTTTTTTCTCATGCTCTCTAGTAAAATGCCCACAGGCAGCAGCCGTGTTCTGTGGGTGGGAAGGGGTGAGGTAGCAGAGATGGAGCTTCCTTCTCTGACTGAGCATCCCAGATTATCCCAGTCAGCACTTCTATGGGCCAGACAGCCAGAGTTCTTAGTGGGATACTGTGTTAAATTAACTAAAACAGTCATATTTTAAAAGAAAAGTCTTTGTCTAACAACTTTGAAGTTTCCGCTGGTAGCCTACAGTGTTTTCACCTGTAGTGATACAATATATCCTTAAACGCCTGTAGTGATACAATGTATCCTTTGCAAGGAGCCAGTGAGGTAATAAGTCGCTTGCCTCAAGGTGGCTGGATAATGAAAGAGAAAAGGGAGGCACCAGGGTCACAGTCCAATATAACCAGACTTCCAGTATAACCAGTATAACTAGGCACTCCCTGTTACTGGTTCTTCCACCAGCCAATAGAATCTTGGGCAGGAAAGCAGCAGACCTTTGGGGGGTCATTTACCTATATGGTGGTGGTTACTACTTATGATTCATTTTGAACACCCCATGCTTAGCCACTTGTGTTTGATTATCACAGGTGTAACTCTGTTTTCTTCCTTAGAGCGCACTGGAATTCATGGGCCCCCAGTTATAATCGAAGGAAGTGAATACTGGTTTGTTGCTGATCCCCACTTAAACTATGAAGAAGCCGTCTTATACTGTGCTAGCAATCACAGCTTTCTCGCCACGATAACATCTTTTACAGGACTAAAAGCTATCAAAAACAAAATAGCAAATGTAATATAAACAAATGCATTTTGAGATTTTTATTTATTTTTATTTTATGTGTATGAGTGTTTGCCTAAATTGTGTTCCATGTTGATGCAGTACCTGCAGAGACCAGAAGAGGGCACCCCCTAGAACTATCCCCTAGAGCTGTAGTCACAGCTGGTTGTGAGCTCCAGTGTGTGGATGCTGGGAATTGATCCCGGATCTTTTGGAAGAGCTGCCAATGCTCTTAACAACTGAGCCATCTCTCCAGCCAAATAAATTCGTTTAAATTCCCTATATTTACATTTATTTCACATATTATTTACATAATATTTCTAAAGTCTGTAAAACCGAAATCTTGGCAATGCATGGTAGTATATGTCTATAATCTCAGCCCTTGGAAGGGTGGGACAGCAAAATTGTAAATTTGAGGCCAGATCAGCCTAAATGATAGAGCAAGACAGACAGAGAAGAGTTTGGGAGGAGAGGGTAAGGGAGGAGAGAAGGATACAGGGGGAGAGGGAGAGAAATTAAATCCTCATGCAAAACACAATTTGCTTCATAGCATTCAAAATCATGCTAGAAAAGCTAAAGAGAATTGCTTAATATACTAAAATACATAGGATTGATATTAAATATCAATTTGATAGATATGTATCAGTAGAGAATATAAATAATCCTTATTCATTATCATGTTTTTTTAAGCTTTTTAACTTTCTGTTCCTATTAGTAGAAAATTAAATTAAATTGCAAAATAGGCTTTGGGCGAGAAACTAGTATTAAGGTTTATAATTAACCATAAGACACTATATGCCCAATTAATACATTGGTCCAG